ATAGCAGGGAGTGTGTCCCACTCAGAAGTCATGGGCATGTCACTCCGGCCTCCTCTGGGAATGTTTCACTAGCCCAGTTTTTGAGGATTTACCCTATGCTAGGCTCCGCACAGAGCTTTACATGCACCTCATCGGCAAGTAGTGACCACGATCATTTCCATTTTACTGATGGAGAACCTGAGGATTCCAGGGATGGATTCGTCTGCCCACAATCACACACTAGTGAGGGCGAGAGCCAGGATTTGAATCCTGGCTTCTCTGTTCTAGGGACTGTGTCACCAACCCCCTGGGTGGGCAGCTTCCAAGATGACTCCAATGATCCCTGAGCCTCCTGGTGTCCACCTCATTTTGTCTTTTCTCCTAGATTGTGGGTGAGATCCAGATGTACTTCTAGGGAACAGAATAGGGAGAAGGGGATGGGCTGTCCTGTCTGAGATTAGGCTGCAAACAGAATGTGGCTTCCGTATTTCTACGGAGTTTCACTGCAGTGGCACAATCTCAGCTTACTGCAACCTCCACCTCCCAGGTTCAAATAATTCTCCTGCCTCAGTCTCTCAAGTAGCTGGGACTACAGGCATGTGCCACCACACCTGGCCCGCTTCTGTATTTTTAGTAGAAACAGGGTTTCATTATGTTGGCCAGGCTGGTTTTGAACACCTGACCTCAGGTGATCCGCCCACCTCAGACTCCCGAAGTGCTGGGATTACAGATGTGAGCCACTGCACCCGGCCAGAGGCACTTTATGATCACACACAGCACGGTGCCCTGACATTGTGGCTGAGGTCTTCATACCCCCTGGAAAGTCTTACCAGGGGTTAAAAAGTTATGGGGTGTTACAAAACTCTGCATCATCCTAGGAATCAAGAGTTACTGCTTTGTCTTAGCAAGAGGTGTTTGGAGATAGTAACATGGGTTGGAAGATCTCAGTAAAACATCTACACATAGAAACGTAACAACATTGGGTTAGTGATGGATCAATTGCATATCTGATGGTGGCCCTTTTAGATTATGCTATATTTTCATGGTACTTGTTCTGTTGCGATCTGTTTAGTTATACAAAAACTTACCATCGTGTTACAATTGCCTACAGTATTCAGTACAGACTTGCCAGCCAGCAGAGTTGAGAACAGGGACCGTGAGGGGCTACAGCTGAGTGAGGGGGGCATGGGAAGCCTGGGAACCTCCAGAAAATGGGGAAGGTGGACCCCACTGCCATCGGAAGTCCTGGGCCTGAGTGTGCAACACACATACACACACACACACATTCACACAGAGCTGCAGCGAAACTGCACGAAGAGTTGCAGAGGGAATTTCCCAGGGCTGTGGGCTTGCAAAGCAACTTGGATATTTGAAAAGTAACTAGAAAGAGTATGTGTGTTTCTAGAGGCTGCAGAGGGGACCAGTGACGGCAGCCCTGCTGGCCGGTGGGCTAGACAGAGACTTTAAATAACGTTGACTTTCTTCTTCTTCCTCCGCCTCCTCTTCCTCCCTTTCCTTCTTCTTCTTAAGTTTTAAAGAGTTGCTAACATTTCAAAGTTAGATTTCACGTAAAAATCCACATCCCTAGTAGCTCTAGACAAAGAAAAAAAGTAGAACATCTGGTAACACTAAGACTACATTCCTGCCTGACAGCAATCTGCAGCCTCCTCTACGGGGGCCGGTGGCCTCATTCACCACAGTCCCCGCCATCCTCATGTCTCTCTGACACCAAATCTGAGTGGCAGGAGCTACATACTCCTGGTTTTTGTTTGCTTCTTATTGGTTTGGTTTTTGTTTTTTTTTTAGACAGGGTCTCGCTCTGTCACCCAGGCTGCAGTGCAGTGGCACCATCCCGGCTATCTGCAGCCTCCCCCTCCCGGCTCTAAGTGATTCTCCTGCCTCAGGCTCCCAAGTAGTTGGGATTACAGGCATGGGCCACCACTCCTGGCTAATTTTTGTATTTTTAGTAGAGACGGGGTTTCACCATGTTGACCGGGCTGGTCTTGAACTCCTGACTTCAAGTCATCCACCCACCTTGGCTTCCCAAAATGCTGTGATTATAGGCATGAGCCCCCACACCCAGCCAAGTGCTATTTTCTTCTTGTCATGGAGTTAAGAGGAAAGCACATGTCTGTATCCAAAGCATAGTTGATTACTTCCAGAAATATGAGAAAGAGTATGGTTCTTTGTAGAAGTGAAAAGTCTTCCTAAGTGTTTAATATGCCAAGAGTGTTTAAGTCAAAATAATACCACCCAAATGCCCTTACGAAATAAACCACCGCAGCCCCTGCTCACCCCAGCTCACTCACTTATGTTCCCAGGCAGGTCCCTGAAGGTAACTCAGGCAGTCCTGGACCAGGTTTCTCCAGGATGCAAGGTCTGGCAAAGGCGTTGCTAGCTTCTCTGCCCTCGGGGGCTCAGAGTGATCATTCTTTTGTTCTGTCTGTTATCTCAGCAAAGGAGAGGAATTAGGGGACTCCCAGCATCTCCAGTCACTTGGTGTGGTGTCAGTTTCCTTCTTCCTGGAAAAGTGGTGTAGGGACTTTTCTTCCACTGCTGGGAGCATGCAGCACTTGGCATGCCACTCTGCCCTCCACTGGGCAATGAAAAGTGCCAGCTAGACAGGGCAGGGGTTCTAAGGCAGCCTCTGCAGCTGGGCCTTTTCCGTCATTGGGTAGGTGAGGATGCAGGGGCGGGTGGAAGCTGGGAAGGCCACGATGGTTGGTGGCCAGACCACTGTGTTTGCCGAGAGCTAGGGCTTCTTACCCACAGGCAGGAAACTTCCTAAAAGGTTTTGTAGATTTGGAGGAAAGTAATTTGCTTCTCACAGCTTGTTGGAGAGCCATAGGCCGGTGACCTAGAAATTTGCACATCTCAGGCCTGGGCCAGTGGGAGCTCCAGGTTACAGAGCAAGGCCTGGGCAGGGTAGGGGTGCATCCATGCTGTCTGCAAGGGGAGGCTGGGGGCTCCACGAGTGTGTGACTACTCACCTGGCTGCAAAGCCTCGGCTCCCGTGTGTCTATGACTGGGAGAAACTGGACCTGCCTCCTGGGGCTGTCAGGAGGTAATTAGTCCTTCTAAAGAGCATTGTAACCGAAGATCAAAGGGGGTTCAGAGCTGCACACTCACTTCACAGGAGTTCTGCCAGCCTGAACACCTACTCCAGAGGGTGGCTGCTGCTGTGCAGACCCTCCAAGGTGCCATCTCCTACAGGATTCGCCTGGCCTTGTCACTGTGCCCCCACCACTCCCAGGGGCCAGGCTCTGGCTTCCCCTGGGAACTCCCTCACCTGCCAGTGGCTGCCATAGTTGGAGAGTTCCTAGGCAGCGCTGATGATGGACAGCGGGGAACTACTAATGCCCTAACTCATAGATGGGGAAACTGAGGCTGGGGAAGTGAGGTGAAGTCATAGGGCTTTCCACTAGATCTCAGCCCCTTGCGATCTCCCCCACCGAACGGTGCGTGCACGCAGCATTCCCTTCACTTAGAGGATGGCCGGTCACACCAAAGATGAGTGAAGGAAACGTCCCGGGACCACTCCCCTGTCCGCCCACTCTTTCTGACCTCTCCCAGCCGGCTTTGGAGACCTCGGCTTCTGGCAAGGCTGTCACAGGGTGTCAGGAGAGAAGGGAGACACAGCAAAGTCGGGGGCCAGGCAGGGGCCAGGGGCCAGGGGCCTTCAAAGACCGGAGCTCCAATGGTGCCACGGCCGCCCCTGCGACACCGGCTATCTTTCTCACCCTCCATGTCCCCGGGAATGACCGCTTCGGGGATGCACCGAGTGGCCGGGCCGGGAGCACAATGGGGCGACTCGCCGGCGCTCCCGGGGCACTCGGGCCAGTCTGGGCGCCGCGGCGGGGCGGGGGAGGGGGCGGGGCGGGGGCGGGGCGAGCCTCGGCCGTCGCCAGCCCGGAAGGAGCGGGAGGAGGAGCCGCGGGACTGGGAGTCGTTCCCACGTGAGAGGCTCCGCGGCCGAATTCCTCGCGTGCAGCGGCCGCGGACCGCCCGGCGTCCGGCCGGACGGAGAGCCCTGGTCCGCGGTGCCAGGGCGGCCGGGCGGGCGGCAGGAGCGGCGCTCGGCTGCGCCCCGATGCGGCGGTGACCCTTGGGGCTGTGAGCCCGGCGCGCGCCGTCGGAGCCCCCCGCGCCGCCACGGGCAGCGGCCCCCGGGCACCCGGCATGCGGGCGGCCGACTCGGGCTCGTGGGAGCGCGTCCGCCAGCTGGCAGCGCAGGGCGAGCCGGCGCCTTCCTGCGGAGCAGGGGCCGGGCCCGCGCGCCCCCCGGGACCTGCAGCCTGCGAGCGGTGCGTGGACGCGGCGGGGCCCGGCGATCGGCCCCGTACCGGGGCGCCCCGGGTCCGAGCCGATGGCGACTGCAGCCAGCCGGGTAGGTGCGCGCGGAGCGGGGCGGGGCGGGGCGGGCGGCGCGGACACAGGCCCGGGAGCCGCCGGGGCCGGGCGCACGAGGGCGCTCGGAGCCGGGATCGGGAAGCCGCTGGTGGCAAAGTTCTCGCGGCGCGCAGAGCCCCGAGCCCCGGGCGGATGCACCGGGAGGCGCGCGGGACGCGCAGTTAGTTCCTCTGCGTGGGGACCGCGGCTCGGGGGCTGCACCCGGAGGCCAGGACCGCGTCTGCAGTAGCCGGGCGATCCCGCCGCGCCTGGAGACCTAGCTCCGGGCTGGACCCCGCGTCTGCTGGGGGAAGTGTGGGAAGGGGGCCAGCCCCGCGCGAAGTTGGGTCGGCCCCCCGGGACCGCACGTGTGAGCCATCTGGCTGCCCCCGCGTAGTGCCGAGGGGAGCCCCCTTCACCGCCGCCCCTCCGAGGAGAAATTGATGCCTCGCGTTTGCTAGGAGCCGGGAGATTGCTGCGTTTCTCATACACTTGAACTCCGAGTAATGCAGAAAGAGAAATTGCAGAGGTGGAGACACAAATGCAGTGATCTAATTGCGTATGGTTGGCTAATCCGCCCCAAGTGGAGAACAGCGTTTTACTGTTAAAGTGTTCCCAGTGGGTGTGCCCGATCCAACCCACTCAGGCCTCAGCTGTCTCCCTTCCTCTTCCCCCTCCCCCTCCCCCTCCACCTCCCCCCAGGTTAGGGCACGGGGATGGGAGGCAGAAACCCCCCTGCTTCGTCTTGACTGGAGGAGGAAGAAGCCATAGAAGACGCAGGGCTTTTCTGAGAAGAGGCTGCCATCATCAGGTCCAAGTTCTGAGTACTTTTTCCGGGAAAAATGGGAAGGAAAGGCACAATGTGATTAGTCCTTATTTATTGAACACCTATTGTGTTCTAGTAATTCGCATGCAATGTATCCTTAAAATCTTATCACAGCCCTGAGAGGGAGGCTGTGTTATTTCGAGATAACACAGATGGGAACAGAAAAGCTCAGAGGTTAAGTGACTTGCCCAAGTTCCCAGGGTCCTAAGTCATGGTGTTGAAACTCCAAATTTTGTTCGTGGAAATCCAAAGCCTTAGCACCATAATACCTCTCCCAGGCAGCAAGCTCGCTAGCTGGGGAGCACACGGGCTTATTTACCTAATAATTATTTCTTTCCTGTAAGAAAAAAGCCAACCACAAGGCCCCCATGCCTGTTTTTCCTATGTTATCCTCCCCAGAAGATGAAACGTCGCCTCTGTATGTCAGGACAGAGTATTCCTCTCTCCTGTGTAGGAGTTTTCCTTGTCCTACCTTCTCCCCACGTAGCAGAGTCCAAGATAGGTTGATGTAAAAACAGCATAGATGCGAAGAGTAAGCAGATGGGGCTTGGGCAGGTTGCTTCATCTTTTCAAGACTCAGTTTACCCATCTGTACAGTGGAAATAATAATGGTACCAAGTAAAGATTTGTCATTCCAAAGATGGTGTCTGCCTGCCTCATTCACGGTAAGTGCTTAATGCATATTACACCTCAGCTCCTTCTGAGGTTACCTGCTTGCTAGATTACCCATCCGTGCTCCACTGACTCAATTTTCCATTAGACGGTGGTGCTCTCTGCTCGTCTCCACCCTCATGAACTATGTCGAGATGACTTTTGTCTTATCTGTAAAATGCTTCAGTGATCTGAGGCTGAGTGTTAGGTCAGTGGAAGCTGTTATTATGAAAACATGTGCAGGAGATGGCTGGGTGGAGATAAGGCTGGTTACTTTGTGTCTATACAGACTCCAGTTGTGTGTTCATAATAATACCCTAACGACACAGTGTAGCCCAGGAATGCCTGTTTCCTAGGTCTAGAAGTGGGTGGCTGTTATTCCTGCAGCCCTCATGTTGTGTCCGTTTTAAAAGAGAGGCACTGGAAACCTCTTTTCCTGATTTACAGATGACATCACTGGCATGAAACAAGATCAGACCAGCAGCTAAACCAGAAAGTTTTGAGTTTTCTCTACCCCACTGCCCTTCCCCCTTTCTGCTCTCTGGTTCTTAAAGACCAGGTTGAGTTTCTGAGAACTTCCATGATCTCCAGGCATTGAGGGAGGATAGTCTGCCATGAGAACGGTTTCAGAAACGGTGGGCTGTTAGGAGGGGATTTCCTCTAGGAGGGAGATTGGAACCCTTTGGCCCAGAGCTGCAAGCTGAACTTGTTGCTGAAATAAACATTTCAGCCAGGCCGTGAGGTGACTGTTCTTCCAATCTCAGCACTTGATCCCAAGTTGAATGTGGTGCTCAGTTTAAGGAGCTGAAAGAGGTGTCCTGTTGGATGGGAGAGTCTGTGAATTGGCATTTTCAGAGATGAAGGGAAGGGGAAAGGTAGAGGGGGTGCTGGCCTGGTGGGATGGAGGTCTGAACACCTTCAATTGCTCAGGGAGAATGTCTTGAGGTCAGCAGGCGATGGCCATGTAGTGGTGACAGCTCTGGCCTCCAGGATGGATGATCCAGGCACTGGAGCAGGAGGTGCAGACATTGGACGTTTGCACAATCCGTTCCTGCTTCTGCCTGGATTGTATTTTACTCTGAGATACTGCGCAACTCAGTTTCCCCATTGGCACTGAGGGAATAACTCCTTCTGAGGGGCAGATCATTCCAGAGCCCCTCAGAATGAACCAGATCCTCACTGGAGTTTTTTAAGCTAAGAACAGGAATCCAGTTCTTCGATCTTTCATTGTCCATTCATCCGGTCACATTTCTTGAGCATCTGCTCCAGGCCAGGCACTGTTGTAGCTGCCAGGGATATGGCAGCAGAGGAGATGACTGCAGCCCGGGTTTCCATGGAGCTTACATTCTGTGGGAGGAGATTTCCAGTAGGCAAATGGGCACAGGATATGTCCAGAGATGGTGTAAGAGTTATGCAGAAAAATAAAGCCAGGGAGAAGTTAGAGTGATGGGAGCAGGCGCTGCTTTGCATTTAGGTAGGGTGGACAGAGCAGCATGTTCCAGAATGAAGTGAGGTGCTTGGGTGCTGAGTTTCTAAGGCAAGAGGGTGTTGCTGATCAGCTAAAGGAACTAAGCCATGTTTTTAAAGGTGATGGGAAATTAGCGTCTTTGTAGACGAGGGGCTCTCTTACAGAGGTCTGTAACTGAAGCCTCTGCATTCTAACCCTATTGTTCCATTTGCATTTCTCTTAACCCCGAGTTTACAAAGCCACGGGGCCTTATCTTGCCTCTCCACATCCTCTACCTTTTTAAAAATCTGCATTATTTTATTGTGATGATCATTTGTGTTATCACTTCTTGCCCCTCCCCTTTAACAAAACCCGTGGCTGAGGGGATTGGGGCCCTTGCGTGTCTTTGTGTACTGGCTCCCTCCCGGGGACCAGTTGTGGTGTGAAACAAACATGATGCTTTGTCTTCATGGGCCCTCCCAGCAACCCCGTGGGGAGGTGCAGTTGCTAATCCCATCCACAGATGGGGAAACTGGTCCTTAGGAAAGTTCAGTCATTGCCCAAGGCTACACAGCCAGTGGGTGTCACAACCAGGAATTTATCCCAGACTGTAGACCTCAGAGCAGTGTGGAAAGACTTCATGTAGCTGTAAAGAAAGTAGACCCACATTATTTCTGATCTCTTTTTCCTTTACACTTTTATCCTTTAAAAAAAAAAAAAAAGTTTGTCCTGTCCTTGGCACTCTTGGTTTTAAGCAACTCAAGCATTTGCTTATCTTTCTGCTGTTAGCAATTTCATCAGGAGGTCAGCTCTCTGTGAGCCATTCTGAAAAGGACTTCTGCTGGGACTGGATGAGATGAAATCTCCACTGCTTGGAATTAAGAATGCTTTTAGGAAGCTGCCCACAAGGACCCATTGGTGGGTTTCGTGTGAACCTACTTCTGTGAGCAGGGCGAGGATAGATGCAGGCACTGGAGGGCTTGGTTCTCCTGGACAATCGGGGGGGAAAGCCACTGCTGAGACCCATTTCCCTGGGAGTCTTAACCTGTGACCCAGCACCCTCCACTCTCCACCCTGTGTGTGGTCCAGTGTGATGGACTGAACTTTACCCTTCTGCCAAGGCTGGTGGCACGCCATAGTGGGTACAGGGCACCGGTTTTGGAATCAAACACACACTGGTTTGAATTTGTTAGCTCTGCTCCTTACTAGCTATATGCCCCCAAGCAAGTTATTTAACATCCCCAGCCTCAGTTTACCCTTCTGTAAAATGGGAATCTTATTACCCACATCAGAGTTGTTGGAAATAGGACAGGAATCTGTATGATTAGCATTGTTTCTACCTGTGGGGTCCGATGCCACCCGTGCCTTAAGGGAGGAGGGGGAACTCCTATTCCTCCAGACTCCAAAGGATTTGATGTGTATGTGTTTAAAATATATAGAATACATTTCTTTTTATTTTTGAAGTTTGAAATATTGGGATTTACTCAGACAGGTTACTTGAAGGGCTGCTGGCTACATATTTGGCCTTCTGAGTCATCACGAAATCTCCATAATGGGCATGAAGCACCGTTTATGTTCTTTGTAATATTCCAGTTGAATGAACTGGACGATTTGCCAGGACCCTCCAGCCATTCTGGAGGAAGAAGAGTTTGTTCATTTTTTAATCATCTCAAGAGGAAAACAGACCCCTGGCTCTGGAGTTAGCCTCCCGAATCCATAACATGGCAAGCTGACAAAAATGGAATCTCAGGACATTTGCATGTAGTAGCCAGATTTAAGCCCCGGTAGATAAGCACACCTAACATGTCATTAAAGCCAGCCGAAGCCATTGCCCTGGGGATTCCTTGTTTGCTGTGAGTCACTAAGGGCTGTAAACACTCCAGAGACACAGGCACGGTTATAAGGGGTGTGCGGGCGTGGAGTTATTTTAATGGAATTACTCTCTGTGAATGAGTCTTACGTTGTGGGTGCCAGATGAGTGCCTTTCAGGGAGAGGGAAGGTCAGGCTTGCCTTCTGTTCCCAAGGACAACCTCTGTCTCCCTCGTGGCAGCCTCTGTGAGGGTGGGGACTCCAGGCTTTCTCTTGTCTGCTGTTTGGATGCCTTCAAGAGAAGCCAATTAGAGGACATAAATTGTGGCGATTCTCTGGAATTCTCATCAAATGGCATGAGCGCATCACGTGCTGCACTCAATTTGGAGGAAATTCACAGCCAGAATAGTGTAACCGGCACATGAGTGCTGCCTGACGTCCCAGCCCTGAACTGGGTGACACTTAAGTCTGGCCTAAGGAGCGGGGAGCTGGTGGGCTCTGGGTGGGGCCAGTCCTCAGTCCACATGGGGACGGTTTTGGGAAACACCCTCTACCTGGCACCTGGTGGCTAATCTGCAGGTGTGGACGGTCTTGTCTTTTGCTGCTTCTTGGATTTGGAGGCTGACTCGGGCTCCCAGCTAGTTCATCACAGGCATGGACTGTAGTCACTACCTTTTAATTGTACAAAAGTTTCAGAAAGTGCTCCCTGCCTGGAGGATTGGAGAGAAGTAAAAACATCAGCTGCTATTTCCTGGATGCCTTATTCCCTCCCCTCTCAGTGCAGCCTCAGCAGCGTGCTCGTAACTTTGAAGTTCTGTGTGCCCAGGCAAGGAAGAAGGTGGATTTTTGTTCAGTCGGGTCCCATTGGCGCGGAAAGATCATTGACTGAGGGCCAAGCAGTAACCAAGCGCCTTGTTCCATGCATTTCTGTTGATCCCCCCATTCCTGCCAGCCAGCTGGCATTCTCCCCTCTTACAGGGAGACCACCGAGGCCTGGAGAGGGTACAGCAGTTGTGTTCCAGGCTGCGGTGATGCCCTCCTGGGACCATTGCTCTTGAGGTTTTCCTTGTCAGCTGATGATTCCCCAGGCTACCAGGGCACAGGGCAGTGGCTGAGAAGCTGAGAGCCATGGAGTTTTCTCCCTGGCACCTTCAGCTCACTGGCTTCCAATCAGCCAGAGCCAGTTGGGAGGGGGGCCTCTGGGGCCCAGAGTGGCCCCCAGTCTCTGTCTCCAAGAGACTCTGCCCCTGCCCCTTCACCCCAACCAGAGGTCAGAGGCAAGCTGGCTCCTGATGGGAGGTCCCCCTTGCACCCGTTTGGAAACTTAGAATGCAGAGCCCTGAGAGGGAAGTCTGTGCAGGGCTGGGGTCAACCTGCTCCTCTACAAGGTGAGGAAACTGAGGCCCGAGGCTGGGAAGGGATCATACTCCAGGATGTCAAACTGAGGCTTCCAGGGCCAGATAGGAAACTTTAGAAAAGGCATGAGAGGCTGGGTGCAGTGGCTAATACCTGTAATCCCAGCACTTTGGGAGGCCAAAGCAGGCAGAGCACTTGAGGTCAGGAGTTGAAGTCCAGCTTGGGCAACATAGTGAAACCCCATCTCTACTAAAACAAAAAATACAAAAATTAGCCAGGCATAGTGGTACATACCTGTAGTCCCAGCTACTCAGAAGGCTGAGGCAGGAGAATTGATTAAATCCATTAGAGGAGGTGGAGGTTGCAGTGAGCTGAGATCACGCCACTGCACTCCAGCCTGGGCAACAGAGCAAGACTCTGTCTCAAAAAAAAAAAAAAGAAAAAAGAAAGAAAGAAAAGACAAGTCATGGGAATGTCTTGGCAGCACTGGAAGTTTTCACCCTTTACCATCTTCCCCAACCTCCTCTGACCCATTCAAGGCGGGTCTCAGACTTCGGGGATTGCAGTGGTCTGTGGTGCTTGCCCACAATGTACAGATTCTCAGGTTCCTTTCCCCCGCCAGGAATCTGGATTTGTATCAAGTACCCTGTGTAATTTTGCCATTCCACACATTAGCCTTTGAGAACCTCTGCCCTTTGCTTTCCTGGGATTGGGCTAATTTTAGAGTAAGAAGCCTGGGAGGGCACAGGCTGTGGTTTACGCTGTGTTGCCCAGGCTGGAGCACAGGGGCAATCAGAGCACACCAGTGCCTTTTCACTCCCACAGGTGTCCCGAAGTACCCAGCCAGGTAGATGGACATCTTAGTTAAATCTCGCTATTTTTCCTTTGTGTGCCAACCCCTACCTGGGCACATGTGTTCCCAGAATCTACTAGAAAGAGGCACATGCGGCTGGGCACGGTGGCTCATGCCTGTAATCCAAGCACTTTGGAGGCCAAGGTGGGCGGATCACCTGAGGTTGGGAGTTCAAGACCAGCCTGACCAACATGACGAAACCCTGTCTTTATAAAAAAAAATAGTAATAAATTTGAAGAAAAAAAAGAAAGAAAGAAAGAGGCACATGCATTTCTCAGTCTTGTGAACTCGCAAAGCTGTCCTGCAGCGAAAGAGCAGGCAGAGGCTTTGGTGGCAACCGTTCCGGGCTCCAGGCTGCCCACCAGCACTCCTGTGCTTCCCATTCATCCCGAATTCCTGGCTCCTTGAGCCCCGCAGTGGAGCCAAGGCGCTGGGCAGGGTGCTAAGGAGACAGAGGAGACAAAACTCTT